CCATAGACAAGAAATAAAATAAGATTAGATTAGATTAGCTAGATTGCATTACCAAATATCAATTTTGATGAAATCAAAACAAAATAGTGAGTCGTTGTAAATCTCATTACCATTTGATTTGATATATCATAGGCCAAATCACACAATCGAGAGCAACTAATGTTAACGACTCAACTTTCTTTTATTGTCTTTACATCTCAAGTTCTTGTATGAATTGGTCTAGTTCTACATTGCATATATTGTCACCCTTTAGGTAACAATGTAATAAGTGAGACCATTAATTCTCTACAAGTTAGACTAGAGTTCGATACATTAAATCCATCAAGAAAGTAGCAAATATGGAGAGGATTAGGCTGATTTTTGAACGGATCGGATCGGAATCAGGGAATTCCAATTGCAATCTAAAAATTTTTAGCATGAAATTCTTTCCCAATTTTGTTCAAAAAAATTTCAGAATTTCAACATCCATCCCAATTCAGAAAACTCAGATTTTTCAGAATTTTGTTTGAAAATTTCCTAAAAAGGTTAAAATTGGCTCAAAATTGAAAAATCATACAAGAAAGCTCGAAAAACTATTATATGCTATTACTTAGATGTTGTTATCCTTTGTGAAATAACTCTTCTATGTCTATTCGGTCATTAATTCATATTTAGTCAACATGAAATTAGTCATTGTGTGTAGTCTAAGCTTAAAACCCCAATATATTTCAGAATTTTGAGATACATTCCAATTCCAATCAAAATTTGATTTGGACTCGCAAAAATTTTAAATTTTCAGATCGGAATTGGAATTTCCAATCCAACTTGCACCCTCGGAGAGGATAGAGTAGATGTTAGGGAAATAAAGGGAAAGGGACAAACTAGGCCTGAGGGAAAATCTTAGAAAATTGAGAAGACTATGAATGCTCATTCGACCATTTTGGGTTTGCTGCTCTGTTTTTGCAGAGCCGTTTCCTTTTTTTTTTCTTTTTATTTAAGCTTAACTTGTTTCCTCTTTTAGGCCATGAAGGCTTCGGTTTTGTTTTTTCGGGTGCTGTGTTTATAGGTTTTTGTAATGCATTGTCTCTCTTTATTGTTGAAGGTTGAGTCTCATCGTCTGGTCTCAACCACTATCATCGGCTTGTTAACTTCACGAATGTATCTTTTGTTGTTCACCCTCGGTGGCACTTATGAAGTTTGGGATGCCCTTAATGTGCCAATAGCACTTATTATTTGGATTATGATAGCGCTACTCCTACTAGTTGTAGCATGGGTGGCTTGCTCACCACCATTTTGTGTTGGTTACTAGTTTCTCTTTGGTGGTTATCAGCTTGCTTTGGTAGCGCGGCTTGTGATTGTTGGATTGTGCGATATATTTGTTACTTGTGTCAGGGTTTCCTAGTGTTGTGTTGTTGTTTGTGGGCTTTTGCCATTTGTGGGCTTTTTTCCTTTATGTGGGCTTAATGCCTTTATGTGCTTTATACATTTTGTTAGTTTTATTACTGTAGTGGGCTCTATACCTATTTGTGTTGCATTTGGTGTGAACTCAATTATTTGAGTTCATTTTGATGTAATCTGGCTTTGAAAATTGTCTCAACAGAATGTTAACAAGACAAATATTAAGATTGTATGGAAAGCGAGCAGAGAAAGAGAAATTCTTTTCTGCTACAGCTATATTTGAAATACTATTTGTCATTCTTGTTGATGAATCCTCTTACATGTCTTCAAAGAAGCAAATGACCATTGTACTACGTTATGTGGATAAAGGTCATGTAATTGAACGCTTTGTAGGTATTGTGTATGTTACAAATATATTCTAAATCTTCCTCACTCAAGTTAGTCATGGATGATTTCTTTTTGAGACATGGATTAAGCATCTCTAGGTTGAGAGGTCATGGTTATGATGGGGCAAGTACTATGCAAAGTGAGTCTAATGGTCTTAAAACACTCATTCTAAATGAGAATGAATATGTTTTTTATATTATATATATATATTTTATTTATGTTAATTGCTTTGCTTATCAACTTCAGCTAGCTCTAGTAGCTGTTGGAGGTGAAGGTGGTGGTGGAGGTGATGGTGATGAAGGTGGAGGTGGTGGTGGATGGCAGTTGTAGAGGTGGAGGTTGATGAGTAAGTGGTGGCGGCGGCGTCGTGGTGGTGGTGAAGGTAGTGGCTGTGGTGGTAGTGGTGGTGGAAATGGCAATGGCAATGAAGGTGGTGAAGGTGGTGGTGGAGGTGGTGTCATTTTAAAAAATTAATGATGGTATTTTGGGAATTAAAAAAATTCATTAAATGCTCATATTTGCTTCTTTTGAAAGTAGTTTTTAAAAGCAATCCAGAGCTTGCTATTAAAAGCTGCTGTCAAAAGGCCACAACTTTTAAAATTTGCTCTTATGCTCGTGGACTAATGTTGTGTGGTTTGGTGCTCCTTTGAGCTATGGAGTTGATATGTGGGGCTTCTGTAGACAGATTGGCTCATGGGAGTTACTAATTTTCAGGGCATTAGCAAGAGAGACTCAACTTCTGCTTATAAGTATCAGCTTCATATGCTGGGAAATATGGAAGACTCGGTGCAATTTTATCTTCAAAGGGCTTTCGTCTGGTTGGTCTGTTTTTTATTTCTGCACGATCGTATTTTCCTATCTTGTTCATAAAACTTAAGTTTGGGCTTTCAACTTTGTTCATAACCACTGTAGTGCCAAAACTCTTTCTTTTTTGTCTTTTTTTTTAATAAAAAGTTTATGAATACCATTCGTCTCAACTCGTCTCTCCATCTAAACACTTATGTGTTAACCTTATGTATTTATGAGTTTTATTGGCCATATATGGGCATTCAAGTCATCTCATGTTCTTTGTTTCTCTCTATGGACAATTCAACCTGTGCTGGATGAGTTCAAAAAGCTTTCTACTAACTTTAGATCGGGCCTTTGGAGCTGGGTGCCAAGGGAATTGAACCGCACAGCGCACAAGGCTGTAGCGATTGGTATCAGAGCAAAGCAACTGGAAAGTTGGGCTGTTAGGCCACCACCGTCTCTAGTGGGTGTTTTTGTAGAAGTAAGAGAAAAAGAAGAAAATAGAACAACACAAGTTTAACGAGGTTCGGCAATTTTGAGCCTACGTACCCGGTGGAGTATGAGATTATTCATCCTATGGATATCAGTACAACAGGCTGCATATATAGGCAAGCCTTTTACAGTCTTTAGAAGCAATAAAGGCCTTTACATAACCAAGACAATACATCTGTTGGAAGATAAAGGGTTTCCAGCAGTTGTAAGAAGACGAGGAGTTTCCAGCAGTAGTTAATTATTTTACATATTCCAATACTTCCCCTAATGAAAACATACTTCTCCGTGGACGTAGCCCATCATTCGGGTGAACCACGTACATTTGTCTTCTGTATGCATGTCCATTCACTTACCGAATGCTCTTACATACTGAGGGTCCTCACCTTTAACATCCACCTCATCTTTAAGTTGGCCTACTTACTACCCATCCAGTTTTAGCGCCAACACTCTCCATCATGGATCGGGTATTTGGTAGCAATGCAAGCCTTTGTTTCATTTTGCATTGGTGATCTTTGAATCTTTTCTCGGACAAAATGGCAATCAACTTCAATATGCTTGGTTCGTTCATGAAACACTGGGTTGGAAGCGATGTGAATCGCAGCCTGAGTATCACAAAAGAGAGTCATGGGATGTGGGTCTTTAAAGCCCAAATCATTGAGAAGTCCCTGGAGCCAAATTAATTCGCAAGAGACAGCAGCCATGGCTCTATATTCGGCTTTAGCACTTGAACGAGCAATGACACTTTGCTTCTTGCTCTTCCATGTGACCAAATTTCCTCCAACAAAGGTACAATATCTTGTGGTGGATTTCTAGTCAATTTGACACCCTACCCAATCAACATCTGAGTACCCTACAATTTGATTGTTTCCATTTTTCCTCATCAAAATGCCACGACCAATGGAACCCTTTAAGTAACGAAGAATCCGTTTGACTGCTTGTTGCTTGCAGGTGAATTGATCGAGGAGAATGCATGAATTGGCTCACTAAGCTTACTACATGAGAGATGTCGGGACGAGTAATAGTAAACCCAACCAGACCTATCGCCCTCCTCCCTTTGGTTTTTTTCCCAGCCCTCGTACCCATTCCCCTCCTCTCCGACCCGTTCCCTTCTCGCCCCCTTTCCCCATCGCAACCCATCCATTCCCCAGACCCATCCCTCTAACCGAGAAACCCATCCCACCACACACACAGAGAGAGAGAGAAGGGGATTTGGGGTTCGGAATTTGGAAGGGAGGTCACGGACTGGAATTAGTCGAAGGAGGCCAGAGAGAAGAAACATAGTGAAGGGGAAAGGCATGGCTCTTTTGAAAGTGTATAAGTACATAGAAGACAACGATAATATTTGTCACTTACATTATAGCTGTTGGTGCGGAAAATTTCGAATCCTCAAACAAATAATCTTGTATACCATGCTAAAAAATATTGTAGTAGAATCAATCGTACCTCCCTTCTTCTATGCTGGGAAATTAGTTGGCCTTTTATAGGTACTGAACCCATAGACTCCAAGTCCCATGTTCCTTATTTAGCTTAATGTTCTACGGTAGTAGATATCATGTTATTTGATTTCCGCCTTAATTTTTGCTCTCACAATAATATTAAAATTTATTCATGAGACTGAGAATTTAAACTACACATTCGAAGAAAATTCAACACGACAGATAGTCATCAAAGTTCGTAGAAGTGGCTATTTGAGTGCAGGTACCATTTGGTCTTCCAATTTAAAGAAGAAAAATGATTTGGCTGTATACTGAATCTTTCTTCTGTTTAGTCAGTCTACCTTTCTCATAATAAAACAACATAAACGCTGCAAAGATTGTTAAATATTACAACTTAATTACATAATTTTTTTATCTAATCAAAATTAATGCGTAAGCAATGACCGTGTCTTGTATTGACAGTATTGGCTTTTAGTACCCCCGCAGCTGTGAGAGTGAATCAATCATCCGACCACCTCATCCCTACATAAGTTCTTGGTCTTCCCAGAAGCACTTGACCTTATTGTCCGCTAAACGTTAAAATGTGAAAGCCGCCCCTCCTCCTAATACTAGTAGTAAGTAATGATATAGAGAAAACAAAAAACATTTACTCCCTTCATATATAAAAGCCAAACTCTCTGATTAATAATTCTGTGCTCTCTCTGGCCATTGCAGCCCAACCAATTATAAACAAGTGCTGCAAGGAGTTGCAGAATGCCAAGCAACAGTGCAATAGTGGAGGCGGAGGTTCCTTTGTTGGATGATTTAGCTTCAACCGTCCGATCAAAACATGAACATAGTGATGATGAAGATCAAGGCACTCTTGCAAGGAGATCTTGGATTGAATCAAAGAAGTTGTGGCACATAGTTGGTCCAGCAATCTTTAGCCGTGTTGCGTCTTATTCCATGCTGGTTATAACTCAAGCCTTTGCTGGTCATCTTGGTGACCTTGAGCTTGCTGCAATCTCCATTGCTAATAATGTCATAGTTGGTTTTGATTTTGGTCTCTTGGTACTTTACTCTATCTCTTCTGCTATTATATTTTGGAGAGTGAATGTTCGAATCTCTTATGTAGCTTTTTTGTTCTAAGTTATGTTCTCTACTTTGTGTTGCCAGTTGGGGATGGCAAGTGCTTTAGAAACACTATGCGGGCAAGCTTATGGGGCCAAGAAGTACTATATGCTTGGAGTTTACATGCAAAGATCATGGATTGTTTTGTTCTTGTGCTGTATTCTGCTTTTGCCAATCTATCTGTTTGCCTCTCCATTTCTAAAGCTTTTGGGGCAACCCACAGAAGTAGCAGAGTTATCTGGGATTGTGGCCATGACCATGATTCCACTTCACTTCAGCTTTGCTTTTCAGTTCCCATTGCAGAGGTTCTTACAGAGCCAGCTGAAGACAGGTGTGATTGCTTGGGTGTCTCTGGTTGCTCTTGCAGTGCATGTGTTTGTGAGCTGGTTTTTTGTGTATAGGCTTCACTTTGGTGTGATTGGTACTGCAATTACCATAAACTTCTCTTGGTGGGTTTTGGTGTTTGGGCTGCTGGGTTACACTGTTTGTGGTGGTTGCCCCTTGACTTGGGCTGGTTTCTCCATGGAAGCTTTTTCTGGTCTCTGGGAATTTACTAAACTCTCTGCTGCTTCTGGTGTCATGCTCTGGTTCTCTCTCTCTCTCTTCCATTCTCCATGTTGGTTAATTAGTGACATTAATCTAACAATTAATTATGTCTAATTTTTTGTTGAAATTACAGCCTGGAGAATTGGTACTATAGAATACTGATCTTGATGACTGGGAATCTACAGAATGCAGAGATTGCTGTGGATGCTTTGTCTATATGGTAATAACAGTACATTAAAATTTATTTTTTCCCATGTCCAATGATCGAAAACAATAATGCTTTGTCTAGATGCGACTAAGATCTATGTGTACAAATAAACTACGCACATTATTGAAATAGAATTAAGTTTCCTATGTGCCAAAAGAAATAAAAACTGATTTGTCTTTTTTTCCATGGCAGCATGACGATCAATGGCTGGGAGATGATGATTCCTCTGGCATTTTTCGCAGGAACTGGGTAAAACCTCTTCACCACCTATACATTTCTCTGTCGTTTTCTTCTATATTATTATGATTCTTATTTTACATATATAAAATGACAAGAAAACATTATTATTAATGATAACCGTTAAGAGGATCACGAGAAGGATGGGTTTTGAGGTCACAATTTCATGTTAGGAGCTAATCATGTGAAGAGCGTTTGGACCAATTCGGTCCATAAAATAATGTGAGGCCTTCTCTTATTGTAGCCATCCAAGAGTTGAAGACGTGACAGGACAAATATATAGAACAAAACGTATATCTGTTAGATTGTCAGATTGTCTTTATCTATATAATATACCTACCCAGTACCCAGTAGGAAAATTCAATTTTGCTTCCAATAATTAGCTTTATCTGTCAGATTGCATATTCGAATTTTATTCCGAGCCTCAAATTCTTTGTTGATTATGTACTTCCACCGCATGGTCGGAAATCGTACGCTGTTTTATCCTGGTTTTCTTTGTTTTTGTTTTATATGATAGGCCACATGAAATAGCTTTTCTCCTTTTTTAAGGTTTTATTATCATGTTGGTTTAGGGTACGTTTGAGATTGCTTTTGAAATGATTAAATAGAAAAAATTACAAGTGTTTTTTAGCCATAAAAGCACTTTATGGAGAAACACTTGTATGTGCTTCTTTAGTAAATACTTGAATTTCTTATAAAAATTTCAATATTTTTATAATAAAAACGTTTTTAAAAAGTGCTTATAAGCATACGTGTTTTCTAGAGAAACAATCCCAAATGAGTCTTTAATGTCCTAAAATTATGTTGTTTGGAATTTATAGTCAGCATTTAAAATTTATAGAATTTACTAAAAATATAATTAAATATTAAGTTGTAATGACTGCTAGTCCAGTTAAGTTGTTTGGAATTTACAGTCAGCATTTAAAATACGTGGTGCCTGCTAGTCCAGTCAATCATTATATAGATACGTCAAAAGACGTCCTTTCTTTTATTAAAAAATGGGGCTACTTTTGTTGAATGTCTGGCGGTTTGCTCCACTTTAGTTTAAGACTCAAGCTTAATCACATAAACAAAGATATATTGGCCAAAGTCCTGCTATGATGCATTGACGAATATCTCGTCACACATATGTTAGTTTGACATATATATTTTTGGCCTATAAAATTAGTTTTTGAAGTTTAATTTTTAAG